GGTCGTTTCGGCGCCGTCTTGGGAGCTTCGTGGGCCGTCTTGGAGCGGTCTTGGGGGCCTCTTGGGCCGTCTTGGAGCGTCCGGAAGCCGAAAAAGCCAGAACACAAAAAACATAGAAAAAAACAATGAAAATCAACGATTTTGGCCTCTTGGGGCTCTCTTCGGAGGCCTCTTGGAAGGCTCTTGGGGCGTCTTGGAGGCCTCTTGGGCTGTCTTGGGGGCCTTTTGGGCCGTCTTGGGGTCATCTTCGGCGTCTTCGAGCGCTCTTTGGGCGTCTCGGGGGCCTCTTGGGCAGTCTTGGGGGCCTCTTGGGGCACTCTGAGCGCGCTCTGGGGAGCCTGAGAGGCCGCACCCAGAAGGAAAACCATCTCTGAGTAGACTTGGTCGGGCGGCGGTCGGGCGGCGACCGGGCGTTGGTCGGGGTACTTTTCGCCGGGGGACCCCCAGGGGCCGCCCCGCGCGCGCGAACTAGAAATATTGTTAATACTGTTAACCAGTTACCGGAGATCTTAGCACGCCCTGGCCCGTTGGGCCGGCGAGTTAGTATAAATTTATTCCAGCAGAAGAATTGGATCCATGAAGGTTCCACACCAAAAAATTGGATCCAGAAGACACGGAAATTGGATCCACGTGACTCTCGCACACACGTAATCGGATCCAAATGGATCCATGCGTTCCCATGCAAGATGAAAGAACTTCCGTCCTGGGGATGTACACTTCATAACACTTGTCATAAGTCATAAACATGTTAATCATACAAAAAGTCAGTGGCACGGGTGTCAGCTATTGGCCCGCAAGGTAGTCACCTATTTGCACCCGGCTTCCAGTCGGCTCCAAGGCTGGGGGTCTGCCTTTGCCCCTCTGTGCTGCTGCGGCATGACGAATACAGTGGGGGCCTATGCCAAGAAACACCCTGCTTGCCTCCAGGGTGCCCTGGTTTTCTTGGGTTTCGATTGTTTTGCGATGGGAAGTGTGATGTTCCTACATCGAGAATCGATGGACGTCCTGGGGTCTCAGAGTTGGGTTTCTTGTGGAAGGTTTCTTGTGGACTGGCCTCCGCTGGTGCGCGGCATTGGTGATTGGGTTGTCGGGGCGAGGATGGTTTCCTGGATCAGCTACGCAGTGAGAAAGTGGAGGGGGCGCGTGTCCAGGAAGCACTGGAGGCAGGGCTTGATTATATTTTTTTCGTTCGGCAGATTTTTCTGATGGCTGTGCCAGAGGCTGAGGATCCTCCCTCTTGGGAGGGATGCGGATGACTCTATGCAGAATGTTGGCCCGTTCACCTCTGCGTATGGAGGCGAACTCTTCGTGCACGGGTCGTGGATGTTTTCCCGCCGCAGCCACTCTTGCGAGGGCGGCCTGGGGCGGTGCCGAGCAGTCCGAGCATGGCTGTTCAAGTAAGCCAAGGGCGGACATGTCCCAGGCGAGCCGCCCCAGGCGGCGTCAAGCAGAGAACGCCATGACGGCGATCGTTTTTTATTCATTGTTTTGCCGATCGGCGGGGGCCTTCGCACCCCCCCCTCCCTTCCCCCCCCCATGGAGTGGATCTTGGCTGTTTTGGGCGCCTGTTTCGAGCAGGTGGAGTCTCCCCCCTAGGACGCACTGTTGCAAGCAGTCGCACTAAGCAGAGCTCCGGAGCCAGACCCCCCCTCCCACCCCCCTTCCGCCCAATGTCGAAACACCGAACAAGAAAACGTTCCCATGGCTCTTGCACTGCCTGGTAGCTTTGGTTCCCGATGCTCCCTGGGGGTCCACCGCGTTTCTATGGACTGTACCGCGCTGGTCTCGGGACCTGTCTTCGACGTCCAGGGCCTGGGATGGGTCGGAGCTCCGACGGCAGGCTACTGTTAACCCGCATAGTAAGAATGGGCAACCTTCCCAAGGGCACCCTTGCAGACTTGTCCCTTCGGCCCATCCTTAGCGGCATTCGCTGGCCAACCTCGTTCGCAAAACGTTCGCATGGGCCTCCAAGGCCCTCGCATCCTTGTCGCGCATCCTTGTGATACGGCTGACTGCACCTGCAGCTCGTCAAGCAGGCCGTTCGGGCCCCTGGCGAGGTCCACGCGGTCCAGGCCCTCGGCCCCATCTCCTGCTCGTGCTGCTACTCGAGGCCAGTCTCTCGTTCGTGTTGCCAGTCGCGAGGGCCCTGCCCCCCGCGCTCTTCCGTGCTCCCCGCGGGTCGTGCACACTCGGGCAGCGCCGCGTCGCCTGCAGCTTCCGGCAGGCTGCCAGGGAGTCGAGCCTGCAGAGCTCTCCTTTGGCATCGCTCGGACGTGTGCATTTCTCTTTCGGCGAGGACCATCCTTGATCACATGGCGAAAAGGCCACGCACGAAACCGAACAAACACGGGGAGGGGACGTCCGAGCGATGGCCAGCCCCGTGTTCGGGCGAGAGGTTGGGATCTTCTCCCTGGGCCGACGAATGCCAGGGATTCACCTCCCTTGGCCCATGCTGCGGGCAATAGTTATATTCACATCCAGTGCGTCTTGGATTCTTGGGCTCTCTTCCCCGGAAACCGTAGACGCACTGGATATGGATAAAAATCTGGCCCCAAGAGGCTTGATTTTATCCATATCCAGTGCGCCTCGGCGTTGCGGCACCTCTTCCCAAAAAGTCCACGACGCTCTGGACATGGATATAAGTACTGCCCGCACATGCCGGGTCTTCCAGGGGACCGCGGAGTGGGGCCCAGGTCTCGGGGAGGTGCGACGGGGGGGGCGTTCCGTCCTCGACGGGGGTGAGTCCGAACAGCCCCCCCATGGGGGCGCCTCTCCGACTCTGCCTCCGTTTCCGAGCGGGCTGGCCTTCCGTGGACAAACAACACGGGGTCGGGGGCGAGAAGTCGCCTGCGAGCAGAAGCATCCGATCGGAGTGATCTTCTCACAGGTCGTTCGCTGACTCGGTCGTGAGGTATCTGCGCCGAGGAGATTAGGGAGAAGGCGGAGGAGGGAGGGGAGGCGCAATGGGCGCAAGGAGGCAGGACGGGAGGGGAGGCGCAATGGGCGCATGAGTTGGGGGCGCGGCTGCTGCGGAGGTCGGCGGGCAGCAAAAGGAGCCTGACGGCGTTCGAGGAGCGGGTGCAGGACCGCGCTTTTCGCGCTGTCTGCGCAGAGTTGGCGCTGGCTGAAATCTCGGCCGAGCTTTACCAAACTTAGGATGCTGTGCTTTGCGTTTTTCGGGGAAGGCGCCGCGCCAGGTACGGCCAGATTTGGAAGGCTTCCGGCTGCAATGCTCTTGCTCTTGCTGCTACTCCTCCGCCTCGGTGTTCTTCTTTCCGCCTAATCCTTCTGTTCCCCTGCTCTTTGCTCTCTTCGTCCTCGTCATCCTCTTTCATGTCCTCCGCCTGTTTGTCATCGTCGTTGTCGTTGTCCTCCTCCTCCTCCTCCTCCTCCTCCTCGTTCCCCTCCTCACTCCCTCAGTCCCCCTAGTCATTCTCCTTCCTCGAGCTTGTCCCCATCGTCGTCGTCGTCGTCGTCGTCGTCGTCGTCGTCGTCGTCGTCGTCGTCATCATCATCTTCCCATTATGTTTCGTCCATTTCCTCGTCCTTGTTACATCCAATGAGCAGAAGCTCGAACAGATGTACCAGCTGCGCCAGTGGGGTGCACTTCCTTTTCAACATGGGCCAATCGCCTGATATCTCCTCGAAGCTCATGACCAGGATAGGCGTGAGGGAGGAAGGTTGTGTTGTTCCTGCACATGAATATTTGGGAACGTGCGCACGAGAAGCTGGCGAATTCGTGTGAGGCTGCAGTGCTCGTCGGGTAGGTTTCCTACGACACGTTCGCGTCGTTCTGAGGTGAGCCCGGCCTTGCGCAGCGATAACCATACGGCCACGTCATTGAGCGAGCTGAGGTCCACCTCGTTCTCGTGTGGCTGCCGTAGGCCCGCGTCGAACCTGACGAGCCAATCTGTCATGCGTTCACCGCGGCGGCGGTGGTGCTCAGTACTCTCGAACAACTCCTCGAGCGTCTCGCCCTTCTGCACTGGCTTTTGTTGGCCTGGGCTTTCTCGAGATGCCTGAGCACGTTCGCAATGCCCTTTTCGTTCCTGCTGCGCTCCTTGTCGTTGGCTTCCTCGAGGTCCATGTCAGTCAGGCTCTGGGTGGAGGTCCGCTTCCACCAAGTTGACCGCGGCTGATCGAGACGTGCCTGTGAGCTAGAGCACGAGCCTTGATTCCAAACTCTGCGTCACCTACATATTCCCACCGAGCTTCCAGAGTTTCACCTCCTGTTTGTAATCACACCATTTTGCGGGGCCGCCATTTCGGCTGGGACTAACGGATTGGTTGTCAAATGAACCGTGATGGTCCGCCATCGTGTCCGTCGTGTCTCTGTACACCGCGGAAATCACAATGAAGGAACTCTCGCTGTCCTTGGTCTTGGGGTTGAACTAGGGGGCTTCGCTGAAGTCCTGGGAGGTTGTGGAATTGAACTCGGCGATTTCGCTGATGTTCTAGGACCTAGGAGATTGTAGAATTGAATTCTGCGGTTTCGCTGACATTTTTGGAGGTCGAGAAGTTGAACTCGGCGGCTTCGCTGATGCTCTGGGAGGTTGAGAAATTTTACTCGGCACCTTCGCGCATGTTCTGGGAGAATTGGAATTGAAATTGAAGAGCAGGGAGTTGTTAGCGTTGCTGACGCTGTCGTAGTTGAGCAGGTTGTGAGGCCCGCTGGCGTCGCTAACGCTGGCGGAGTTGAGCAGGTAGAAGGGCTTGCCGGCGTCGCTGACGCTGGCGGAGTTGAGCGGGTAGTTGGGCTTGCCGCCGTCGCTGACGCTGGCGATGAGCAGCAGCAGCTGCAGGATGGCGTTGGCCTTCGATTCCAATATGTATGGACGCGTCGCGGACGTCGTCGTGCTGATGTGGACGGCCCGCAGGCCGGGATAGAGAGCCTCGTTCCTAGCTGCCACGATCTGGAAGATCGCTTACCGTTCCCCATTCAGAGCGCGCGGCGCAGTCACGTAGCTCAAATGAGCAAGGGTCCTGAGAGCCACACGTCCGCTGGAGGTTTGGGCTAGGACAGGCACTGACAGGGAGCAGGGGCGGAAGCTCGCGTCAGCGACTAGAATCACAATACCCAGATGTGAATCAGAGATTGCCCTCCCTGGGGGGCTGCAAGGTGCGAAATCGTCGTCACTTTCGCGGGCATACCTTAGATGTCGCCGCCCCTGGGGGCTGCAAGATGCAAGGCCGTCGACACATTCGTGGGCTCCTGGGAGGCCCAGCGCAGTGCGGTCATACCCAGATCTGAGATGAGTGCAATCCGTCTTCCAATCGGAGTTTGCTCGCAGAGCTCTGACCCAGACAGACTTCTCATAGGCAGCACGTTCATCGATCAAGCAGCGGACCTGCAGATACCATGCTATAACGTCGGGCAGGTTCCGCCCGATATCCCTGCGCCAGATACTTTCGGATATAATTACGTCTCGCTTTCGTCGCAGGAGTGGCTGAACAGTTTGACATTTCCCGCAAGCGATCAGCGGCGTGCCTTGACCTCGCACCACTTTCTGGTCATGCTGATATTCACGTGGATGCCCCAAAGCTGTCGCGGCCGCAGCCTGCCTCCCGGCGCGACCTGCACGCCCTCCGCCTTCGCGGGACATCTGACCGGCTCGCCGCTGCCATTGCCGATCGCGCACAGGAGCTGGAAAGCTGCATGCCGACGTCTACGGAATCTGGCATCGAAGCCATCATGACATGATGTTTTTCTGCAGCTGCCGCCTCGATCCCCACCCTGCCAGCGACGTCAAGGAGGCCTTGGGTCTTTGACCGCACAATGGACATTGTCATGAAGCGCACGGACGCCAGGCGTCGTGGGGATGTGGGGACCTAGACTTGGCTGAGTAAGCTGGTGAAGCTGTCAGCCAAGCGGGGCCAGGCAGAGTGGCTGGAGCACGTTCTCGCAGCTGGCGATTGGGGACAGGTTCCCAGACATGCGACGGTCTGATTTTTTCAGGACGGCGTCCCCAGAAGTCCAGACCATTTTCCCTGGGGCCAGTTTTTCATCCCGAGTCGTTTTTTGACGCTCCCGTGGACCGGCGAGGGCCCCCAGGGGCCGAAAATAGCGAAGCATTTCGCGTCCCGATTTTTTGGCGACGCGATCATGTCTGGGTTCGTTATTCGAGAAAGGGTTTGCGCCGAAGCAGGGTCAGCTGCGTGCACTGCATGGCGGGCTGGTCGATTCCGATCCCCGCCAGGAGGCGATGGCCGAGTACCTCGGCAGCGTGTAGCGGGCCGCCCGTCACACGACGCCCATGCAAGCAGCTCCACTGGGCCCTGCGCTACCTTGAACTCGGGCACTTCCCTCTACAGGAGGAATATTCAAAAATAGTTACAACATTAGTGCGGGGACGATTTGTCGATTATTTTTTGACAACTTTTGAGCCATGGTTGGCTTACTTTTATTTTTTGTTCCAAAATCTGCTGTAGGGGGACATGCCCGAGCTAACGCTACCTGTAAAAGTCGAGCCCGTACAAGAGGGGGAAGTTGTCGAAGCGGCAGAGGCGATGAGATGGGACAGAGCTTGTGGCTCAGACGCGGTCCCCAGACGTTTCTGGAAGGCTATGTGTTGCCGAGAGTCGCCGGCGCGAGCTTGGGCCGTCGCCTTGTGTCAAGCATGTGGGGAAGACGGCGCGATCCTGTGGCGCGAGTCTTTGGTGAGCACCCTCGTCAAGCAGGGCGGCGCGTCTTTATGCGAGAGCTGCAAGCCCATCTGCTTGCTGCGGGCTGGATTCAGGTTCTTCGCGGCACTTCTCCTGCGCCGCGCGACGCGAGCAGGTGCCGAAAACAGAGTTCGGCGGGCACGGTTTGGGTTCAAATCAAAGGGCGGCACCGTTGACGCCATCTTCATCGCCAGGGCATGCTGGAGGGGGGGTTCGCGAAGGAGGAGAAGCCACAAGCTGTTGGTACTTCTTGTGCTGGATGGGGCAAAAGCATTCTACAGCGTCATGCCTGACGGTCTCGTCGCTGCCCCGCACCGAACTTCGGGCTACTGGACAAGATTTTCGACCTCGTGCTGGTGACTTTCTCCAGCCAGCATGTCGCTGTTCGCGAGGATGGGAGAATCTCGGGGCAGCGGGGGCAGCAGGCGGGCATCTGCCAGGGATGCCCGCAATCGCCGCTCTTGTTTTCCATCTTGATGCGCGTTCTCCTTTGGGACGCGAGAGCCACGCTCGGCGACGCTGCTGGCGACGCAGGTGACTTGGCTTGCGCGGGCGACGCGCTGATCGTGACCTCGGGAGCAGCGGATGCGGAATTTTGCCTGAAGGCCATCGCGTACGCCGGCGCTCGCTACGGTCTGATGTGCAACTGGAGGAAGCAGGAGCTCATCAACACCAGGTGCGCCGCCCCTGTCGTGCTCAAGCCTGGCGGCTGCCCGATTCCAGAAAAGAGAAAAAACATGGTATACTTGGGGGGGGCGTCTTGTCATCCGATGGGTCTGTCTGCGCGGAGCTGGGCCTGCGGATCGGACGAGCCCAGACAGAAGCCCATTCCGAATAGCGCATTTGGTTTCATTCTGCCGTGTCAGCCAAGAGGAAAAATACCACATATTGGTTGCGTCAGCACGATTCGTTTTGATTGAGTGCGTTTCAGGCGCGCCGCTTCCGCAAAACCTAAGGCATTTTGCATTCATCTGTCGGTCGTGTGTCCAATGCCATGGTTCTACAGCGAGCTGGACGCATCATACCCAGCACCTTTTACTGTATCCAGCGGTAATTCAGATTGTTCGGAGATGTTACACCCAATGGCAACGAACACCGTGTGAAGCAAGCTGTGCTGCAGCCTTTTATTTCCGAGTTGACGCATCAGCCTGACCGCCGCGATGGGGGAAAGGCCCAGGCAGGCGCGGGCGTCCGAGTGGTGTAAACATGCGCAGCACATTTGCTGCACTTTCCGTTCCACTATATATATATATATGTATACATATATAGAAACGGGGCACGTGCCTAGCGGAAACCTTGAACGCAGCAGTACGCAAGTATAGTGTCTCGCGCACGTGGGTGCCAGTGCTCATCTGTTCATGGGAAGTCGGATCCATTCATTCACGCATTCGTGGAAGTGTCGACATCGTCGTGTTCTTCAAGGAGGCATGTCTGAGTGCGACCGCACCCATATTTGAGTTAGACATCGCCGCCCCTGGGGGTTGCGAGGTGCCCAATCGTCGGCACTTTCGCGGGCTCTTGGGAGGCACAGCGCAGTGCGGTCACACGCACGTCCGAATCAGACCTCGCCGTCCCTGGGGGCCGCTTTCGCCTCGTGCCCCCCCCTCCCTTGCCTAGTCCTCTCGCCACCTACGGCTTTCCAGTGAGTCGTGCAACGCGCGGGTTCCCCGTTTAGCTTTCACAGCCAATCGTGCTCTTTGTCGTGCCAGGTTCCGCAGAGATTTGACTGACTGTTCTGGTCACTCGGTGCACGTCGGTTGGGCGCGTCGCAGGGTCATTGCCCAGCTGCCTGCGGCAAAGGCCTGGCCGCGCAGCGTGAGAGGTTAAATTTACTATGCATATTAATGGGGCTGTTTCAGGGCCGTTGGATCCGTTTGGGAGGCTTTCGAATGTCTTCATGGGGGGTTCTGGGAGACCCCGTGGTGAGGTCTCCTGGGCCTTTCTGGAGCGTCCTGCGGGCCTCTTGGGGGCACGTGGTTGGCTTTGGAGGCAGCCCTGCAGGAACAGGTTGTTAAGGCCAACTCGATTCCCTCCTCTTGGGACCTCCTTGGGGGCCTGTTGGGCCGTCTTGGGGGCATCTTGGGCCAGGTATGGGCGTCCTTGGGCCGTTAAGCCTTGGGACGCCAACAGGGCCTCTTGGGCCGTCTTGGAGCCGCCATGGGCCATCTTGGAGCCGTCTTCGGGCTCTTTGGATTGTTTTGAAGCCCTCCTGGGGGCCCTTCGGGCCGTCTTGGGCTTTCGGACACCAGAGTGGGGCAGCTTGTGGAAACTTGTCAAAGCTACAAGTGACAAACGTGTTTTCTCTCCAGATCCTTTTGGGCTTCCTATTGGAAACCTTTTGGGCCGTCTCGGGTGCCGTCTTGCGCCTATCTTGTGCCATATTTGGGCCCAGTTGGAGCGTCTGGAAGCCTTTTCAGAGTTGTCTTGGGACCGCGTTGAGAAGCCTTTGTGTGTGTGTGTGTGTGTGTGTGTATAGCAAAGATGAGGTTTGGGTGTTTGTAGATGTTTTGACCCCCCTTGGCCAGATCCTCTATGGGAAACATGCTCTTCCAATTTTTACCGAACATTGCACAACATCGGCTCCGGAGAGGGAGGGGGATTTTCAAAGGCTGGGAGGTGGCGGGTCGTCCTTAGAAAGCACGAAAGAAACCTTACCGTAATAAGCGGAGGAGCATCCTTACACGCCCCAACATGCACAAGGCATGGTGGTGAATTCGTTCGAAGGATGCAAGGCAGTTCTTTTTCAAAGCAATGCCCTCGGCTGAATGACAGGCCCATGGGGTGCTGTGCTTTCACGGGGGCGTTTCCTGTAGTGAATGGGGGCCTCTTTGACAAGGGGCCCTGGGGTTGGCGGGTGTGCAGCCTCGTTGATGCATCTTGAATCTCTGGTCGTCCTCCTCCTCCTTCTCCTTCTTCTGCTCTTCATCCTCCTCTTCTCCTCCGCCTCCTCCTCCTCCCCCTCTTCCTCCTCCTCCGCCTCCTCCTCCTCCGCCTCCTCCTCCTCCTCCACCTCCCCCCCCCCCCCCCCTCCCCTCCCCCTCCTCCTCCTCCTCCTCCTCCTCCTCCTCCTCCTCCTCCTCCTCCTCTCCTCCTCCTCCTCCCTCCTCCCCTCCTCCTCCCCTCCCCCTCCCCCTCCTCCTCCTCCTCTCCTCTCCTCCTCCTCCTCCTCCTCCTCCTCCTCCTCCTCCTCCTCCTCCTCCTCCCCCTCCTCCTCCTCTTCGGAAGTTCACTGGCGGTGCGGGTCGGCGGCCCGCGTGCGCAAAAAGAGCACGAACGCCCCGGCGGCCTCCAGAGCATGCGGGGGAACCTGCGGTCGATCCTGGTGGCGCGCCGCGAGGACCCGGAGGCGTGCAAAATGGGGGTCAAGGAGCTCCACGGCACTCCAGAGGAGGGATGAAGGAGGAGGAGGAGGAGGAGGAGGAGGAGGAGGAGGAGGAGGAGGAGGAGGAGGAGGAGGAGGAGGCGGAGTAGGAGGAGGAGGAGGAGGAGGAGGAGGAGGAGAGGAGAGGAGGAGGAGGAGGAGGAGGAGGAGGAGGAGGAGGAGGAGGAGGAGGAGGAGGAGGAGGAGGAGGAGGAGGAGGGGGAGGGGAGGAGGGGGAGGGGGAGGGGGAGGGGGATGGAGGGGAGGAGGAGGGGGAGGGGAGGGGGAGGAGGAGGAGGACATGGGGGAGGAGGAGGAGGAGGAGGAGGAGGAGGAGGAGGAGGAGGAGGAGGAGGAGGAGGAGGAGGAGGAGGAGGAGGAGGAGGAGGAGGAGGAGGAGGAGGAGGAGGAGGAGGAGGAAGAGGAGGTTTGGGCGGGAGGAGGAGGCGGAGGAGGAGGAGGAGGAGGAGGAGGAGGAGGAGGAGGAGGTCCAGACGAAGCTGTCACGGGGGGCGACCCCATTACGTGCACGGAGCATGCGGAGCGACCCCAACTCCGGGAAATCAGATTGCAAAGCCGAAATCGAGGAGGGGGTCGTGGGAAGGGGCTCTAAAGACCTCTGGTCTTGGCAACCGCTGCAGTCGCATTCGCGTCTTGCGAGGCCTGACCCATCGAGGCCGCCTCCTCCCACGAGAGCCCGAACAACTTTAGCCCTCGCTCAGCGTCCAAGCTCCTGGATCCCTGGGCGTCCCGAGGAGCCTGGACCAAGGACGGGGCAGGGACATCCGACGGGGAGACCAGGGCCCTGGACCACTCCTGGCGAGGCGGGAGCCGCGTTACGAATGACTCGGCTGCCCCCATACCTAGGAAACTTCCCTGCCAAAACACATCCACATGCCTGCAGTGGCCCCTGCTGGGCCTGCCTTCGCAGGGAGCACGGAGGCCCCCCCCCCTGGACGGCCGCTTGCGCGAGCCTCTGGCACAGGCCCCGCACGTCGAACACGTCAACAGCGTGTCAGTGAGCTTGTGCTCCCGACCGTCTCGAGCTTGAGCCCACCACAGCCTGCGCCCCTGAAGGCCCAAGCTTCCAATGGCTCCCCCCAAGTGTCCCCAGGGGCGGGAGGTGGGCCTTCCTCAGGGGCCCCTTCCCCAGACCTGGGCCCAGGGGCTCCTCCCGAACACGGACTGGCACCAGGGATGGGGAGCCCAGGGATGGCCTCGAGGGGAACAGTGGTGAGCCACTCTAGCCAGTCATGATCGGCTACCTGGCTCGCACTGATCATCACCTGTTGGGAGGACGCAAACCCGGCAGCCCCGCGGGCGAGAGAGGCACATCCTTCGGTCACCAACAGCTGGGCCTGCGAGGCTCTAAAGGGTTCGGCTCCTAACTTGGCTAGACGGTCAACGCTGGGCATTTCCTATCCGTTGCTGGTGGGTGACGAGGCCTTCCTGGACCGCCTTCTGGGACTGGTGGGCGTCGACCTTGACGAAACGAATCTTCCCCAGGGTCCGAAACCTCAGGCCGCCAGAAACATCCCATCTGGTTCTCGTTGGCTGGGAAGGGGGGCCTGTTCGCCACGGACACAGCAGCCTTGCAGTCCACGTGCGCTCCCACTCCAGCCTCCAGCACTGCATGGGGCCCCAACTGCCTGACTGCGAAGTCCCCCCCCCATCCCTGGAGCTCTGGTCAGGGGCCTCCGCCAGTGGGACCACCCCGTAGATGGCGTAGAGCAGGTCGCCATTCTCGTTGACTATGCAGGTCGACCAGCCTGCCACACGTAGCTTGGGGCAGTTTGCCTCGAAGCACGACCCGTCCGTGAAAACCGCCCAGCATCCCCTGACAATCAGAATCCCATCCTGGGGCCAGTTGTTCGACTGCATGCATGGCCCATTGGGATCTTGGTGGGGTCGGCCGAACCAGACGCTGGGGTCTGGAAATCATCCGCGCGAGAAGAGCTCCACAGCCTCTCCAGACACCCTTTTTCATATTCTGGCCGCTATCCGAATGTTGTGTCCTATATGATCTCGCCTCCAAGCTTCGTAAGCAGGGCAGCATAATCTCCCGTGTGATGACGTTCCTCGAGCTCCTTGACATAACTTGCAGATCGTGCCGATATCTCCTGCGTGCAAAGCCATTCTGGTCTGCGCCCAGTAAAAGTTGGAGACCGCTCCTTTCAAGGTGTGCTTGTGGTGCCCATAACACGTGTCGGTAGAGGTTTGGCTCAGCAGCTTCTTGATCGGCCACCAAAAGATGTCTCCCTTCCACGCCTGAAAGTCACTCTGCCTGCTCTGTTCACCTCTGGCCGTGAACCTCCTGACTCCTTCTCGGACTTGACCTGCAACACACTGTGGCGAGACTATCAGGATAGACCACGAACGCCCCAAATCATGAACCAGCGTCTTACCATGGAAATCGAAAACCCAGCCTATCCTGTCGAGGCTGGCCATCAACGCGCCAATGGGGTGTTTCATTTGGAGCCAGCGATTGCGAGAACGGAGCACCTCTTTGCCGTCTTGGTAGCCTGCCTAGATCACACCCCAAGACACATGCCGATTCCAGATCACACTCACGAAGACCTTGGCCATTTGGTCAGTGGTGACCTCGAGTGGGTCCTTCCAAGAATGGGTCGAGCAAGCCGCGGACGCCTAGCGCACATCCTGGATGCAGGTGCCCCGCTGCTGCAGCTGCTTGCGCTATCAGCTTCCTGATGGCCGTGTCCGCTAGGCCGCTGACCGACGAACCCCTGGCTAGAGGCCCCGTTCTGAACACCATCGACACGGCAGCCCCCGTGCCCAGACGCGCCAGCTTGCTGGTCATCTTCTTGGCCTCGGGGGTCCTCTGGAGCACAGTGGGGAGCCTTCGATGTTTCCCATGACTTGAATCACCTGCCAGACCCCTATGAGCATCCACATGCTGGTCCAACATCAGGTCCCAGGTGGGGTCCTCGAGGAGAACTTTCAGGGCCTCGGGGCTGGAGGTCATAAACCTGGTCTTGCTCCAGTTGATGGGGAGGTGGACCTGGGCCATGCTCTGGGTAATCTTCCTGTGGGCCTGAATGGAGTGTCTGACCGAGGTGGAGGGCCCGCCCAAGACGTGCGAGGTGAGGCCATCAATGAGGTTGATGCTGCGGCAGAGGGGGAATGGAGGTAGCAACGTCCCTGAGCAGCGCGAGCATCATCAACTTGGAAATCCCTGTCGCACAGCTGCAACCTGCCACGGCAGTATCGTTGGCCTCCGTGGGGCCATTGATGGAGCCCCCCCAGCGAGCGTGCCTGGGACACCTGTAGAATACGTCAAACGAGTCGTGTGAAACCGATATGCGTAGCCGCTCGTGTGCGATGTTCTCGAAAAACCTAGCGGTGTCGTAGAAGGTGCTGATAGCTGTTGAGCCTTTGGCCCTGGCGTAGCACCCGAGTAGGTTATGTATGTAGCTGGCTCCGTGTGCTGCCGTCGCTGTGCCCCTTCCCTAGAACCATGATGTATCAACCTCCTTTTCCCATTTTCGGACCGCACGTTGGCGGATCCTGCTCCAAATACGTGCCAGCGTGCACATCAGGCCGATCGGGCGCGTGCCACCCGTCGATTTCAGCAGGAAAACGTTGATGATCGACAGCATGGGCGAAACCTCTGGCTGCTGCTCCCAGCTGTTGAGGATCTCTACGGCTCGTTGGATGACTACCCTGGGCATCTTCTCGGAAGAGCGATGGTGGACAGAGTCCCAGCCCACTGCCGTCTTGCTCGGGAAGGACGGCAGCGCCCCCAGGAAGTCCTCCACCAACATGGGGTTCAGCTTCCACTCTGTCTGCCAAGTCGAGGGGTGCGGATCGTTCTGCCTGGACTCTGCCACCCAGAGCAGGTTCCAATCCTCAAGGATTTTTTTCCACGGCAACAAGGTAGAGGAGAGGGAGGAATCCGCTGCCTCTCAGAGAGGCTATCCTGATCGCGCGCCCAGTACGAAGCCGACAGCAGGAGGGCAGTGACAGCGAAAACCGGCAATAGCCCCGGACTCGGGTAAGAGCACGATCCACATGTCACGAAATCAGCGCGGTGACACTTTGCATTGATACGAGAAGGCGCACACACCCTGAGGCACGCGTGCGCCGCCTGCAGGAGAAAATAAAGCGCACCGGGAAGGGGAGAGAGAGGAGGAGAAGGAAAAAGGAGAGATGGCAGAGAGCGGATGGGTGTCTTAAAGCGTTGTGACTGCACTTCCCCATGATCCCACCGATCATTCATACAATCGGGCAGCGCACAACAGCAAACAAGGAACCGCGGCACAGTACAGCACTTGACACAAGACTGGAACCTGACCCGAGTTCCAGACCTGCAACAGAAGTCAGGCGTTGGGTGCGTGCACTCACCAACCGAGTTTCTAAAGCATGGGGTTGGGCACTGAGGTGCCCGGCCAGGCGCGGGACTACACCGCAGCGGCTGGAGTGCGAGCCGGTGCCGACGGAACAGACCAGAGTCGGCCAACAACGGCTGCAGCAAAGCATGCGCGCCCTGCCTGTGCAAGCAGTGGCAACCAAACCACTAATTCGAGGAGGAAGGGGGGAGGACGAGGAGGAGGAGGAAGGAGGGGGAGGAGGAGGGAAGCCCGCGCCGACATTCGAGGCTGGGCCGCACGGCCTCCGGACAGCCTGGGCAAGTTGGCACAAAACCTCTTCCTGCCACCGCACTCCACGCCGACCGGCGGTCCAGATCGCGTTGTGCAGCGATGACGCGCGCACAGACGGGCGGACAGATCCTGCCCCCCCCTGGGAAGCCGCCACACACACTTTGTCCGGCGAGTGCGGCCGAAAAATCTGGCAATAGCCCCGGGCCCGGGGCCAGTACGGTCCACCAGCAAGCAGCAACGACGGGCGAGACAAAGGAGAGAGCAGGGGCGGTATCAAGCCGCAGGAGGCGAACGATGCACCCACATGCATCCGCAGACGGACACACGGGAGAGCACCGTTCACCAGCCAGCAGCAAG